CAGAGATTTCGAATGTACAAATCTTGTAACAACAACGGCAACAGTGAAACGCTTTGAATATTTTTGTATAATTTTCCAATTTAAATTAACAGTTTTCGTTGTTGTTGCTGCTGCTGCTGCTGCTGCCGCTATTGAGATTTTTCCCAGGCCTGCTGCTGCTGCTGCTGCTGCAGAAGAAAAATACTAGAGAAATAATAAATGTTGCCGGCAGCAGCAGCAAAAGCAGTAAAAATACGAGTTATTGTTGCTGTTGTGCTGTTTGATGTTGCTCATGTCGTTGTCGTTGTTGCTGCTAGTTCTATGAAATTGATATGCAATTTTTGTTGCAGTTGCTGCTGCTGCTGCTGCTGCTGCAGTTGCTGCTGGCCATTGTGCTTATATGTTACGTTCCGTTTCGTTCTAGTATATCTGCTATCGCTTGTCCGTAATATAATCAATTGATTGCTAATTGATAATTATGGCATACGTAATGGCGACGTCGTGTTTTAATGCAATCATCGCTTAGGCGCGCTCAGCTATGACAATGATTTATTAGTGGAAATTTGTAACAGCTCGGGTCGAATCTTTCTCCTGAATTCCTTACTGGAATGCTTTGCTTTACATCAATCCCTAATTCCCCCCAATCCAGCCGCCATTAAATTTGACATTTTGCGCATGTGAATGTTTCGTTTGTTTTTTTCTTTTTGGGGACATTCACCTGATTGCCGCTGTGTCGGCAGTCGGCATTCGCATTCACAATTCCCAAATCGCAGTTATTACATATTTTATGTGGTTAATTATCAAATTATATTGTAGTTTGGCCTGTCCAGATGCATTAGCGGTGTACGAATCGAGTACGTGACCAAGCCGCAGCAGCAGCAGCAGCAGCAGCAGGCAACAGGCGTATGCGCAATATGCAAGACATTACGCATACGCCACAGCGCGGGCCGCGCATTGGGTACGTACCGAAAATATGAAATGATAATTGCTAAGCCCAGCCCACACCCACAATATGAACCAGCAATGCTCCACATTATGCATGGAGCGCGATGAAAGATAAATTTGTGGCTCAGTTTCTCTGCCAGTTTTCCTCTTTCGGGTATTTTTCGGTCTTGGCCCCTGCAATTTGTTCGATTCAAGTTGTTAACATAAAATCGCAATTAGTTGGCATTTTGGTTGCCTTGTTTCCCCCTTTTTTTTTTTAATCTCTTGTTACAAAATTATGCAAATCAATTTATCAAGAATTTTGTTTTGTTTTTTAGGGGGGCGTGGCGGCGTCTTGTTCTGCATTTGCATATTTACATGCATGGATTTTATTTTCCAGAATTTGTGTACTTGCCAGCTATTAATTAATCGATTCTTGAGACTTTAATCAGACTATAATCGGAGACTTTTTATGGCCGATATGGGCGGGAGTGCACACATTTTTCATTTGAAAATGCACGAAAATTGCAATTTATTGAACAATTGATTTGAATGTTTATTGGGCGAGCAATTTGTTGGCCCCCTGGCCCTGCCACTGCCCTGAGACATATGTTGCAAGTTGTTGCAGCTGTCAATAGAGGCGGTCACGTCATGTTGCAGCAGCAGCAGCAGCAGCAGCAGCAACTGGCTCTGGCTCTGGCTATGTCAAAAATGTGTTGTGTTAAGTGTTTGGCTTTTGCATATTTTTGAGACAGCAGCAACAACAATCATCGTTGTTGCTGTTGTTGTGTGGTTGGTCGTGTGGCATGTCTGGCATGTTGTTCAACACCCTGTTATACCCGAAACGATTCAACTCCCTCCACTGCTGTCTCTCTGTCTCTTCGTTACACATTCAGGGTGCAGGACCAGTTAGTGCGACTCAATCAGGCTCTTAGCCAGCCAACAAATCAGCTTAAGACAACAGACAACAAAGAAAATTCTAAATCCCCGCCACCACCACCACTGAGGCAGTTTTCCTTTAGTTTTTTGCTCTTGTGGGTGATGCAAATATTTGAACAGAAATTTGCCTTCTCGGGGAAAAAAGTCATTGAAAGTCATTTGCCAAACAGCAGCAGCAGGACACAGGACACGGGACACAGGACATACACATGCAACTACTACATCCACACTCGGCAGTGTGCTCCTTCTCTCTTGACCTGTCCGCAACGACATTTGTTACACTTTGTTTGCCTTTCGGCTGCTTCGTTCGAAGGCAGAAAAAAAGCGTCCCGTGGAGGTGGAGGTGGAGCTGTGCAGAACGATTCTAAAATCGCATCAAAAATCAACCGAGCATACGTTAAATGCCTCAAATTGAGTTAAAGTGCCGACGCCGTTTGCACGTCAGAGCCCCGCACACTCCTTCCGCGCTCACTCATCGCTTTCTGGATAGAAGGACAAAAGCCTGTGGCCTGCTGCAAGTATCGCAGCGAGTGCCAACAGCATCCCACACAGTGGCAGAGAAAAACTACAAAAAACTGCAAAGAAAAAAAGGTGAATGGGGCAAAAAATCGACACGGGAAAAAAATGACGTGGGTTGATTGAATGCCCAGCACGAATGTTGTACCGCAATATGATAATTCCGCATTGAAAGCTGAGTTTACAATTACAAGAAAACAGCACAGAGCTTGGACGGCATCAGAGAGTGGCACTGGGATCAACTTTTGTATCGCACCTCGCACTTTTTTATCGGACACGGACACGAACATGAGAGCATATTTAGCTTGGGCTCCATTTCAGAAGGAGGCAGCATCCAGCATCCAGCATCCAGCTTCCAGCTTCCAGCATTCAGGATGCGGCAGCAGGACCATCACTTGGATATGCCCCTGGTGCCACTCGTTGGGTTTCTTTTTTGCTTTTTGTTTCTTTTTTGTGTTTTTGTTTTCATTGAATTGACTTTGGCCCGGTTGCATGTCCTGTGCCCTGGCTACTGCTGAGCCTCCGCCTGACTCCTGACTCCTGGCTGCCTGCCTGAGCCTGAGCCTGCCTGCTGTCATCATTGCCTCGTTCATCGACACTTTGCTTTTTAATCAATTTAACAATTTTTTGTTCTACTGCTGGCTGCTCCTTCTACAATGTCCCTGTCCCTGTCCCTGTCCCTGTCCCTGGTCCTGCTGGTGTCGCATGTTTCCAAGGCGCCTGCGGGCAGGCAGCAGCCTACTGCTGCTGCTCCTGCTGAAGGATATATGCAAAAGTAATTGACAGTTCTGTTTCGTTCGGTTCACTTCAGTTCGTTTTGCCATTCGATTCGATTCGGTTTTCGATTGGGATTGGATGGAATGAAATGGGCAGAGGGAAGGCAGGCATATGATGACAGATCCTTGGCTTCCTTTCTTGACTTTCACTCATGGCGAATGCTGGCCATTTCTTTGCTTTTGCCTAACGCTTTCTAAACGTTGACAGACACACAGTTGTCCTGTCCTCCGTCTGGTAGCATTTGCTAATTAGTTTGCCCAAGCATCAAGGGACATCTGGACATGTGTCCTCTCAATTGCAAAACTTCTCTTCGTTTTTGTTTTTTTTTTTTTTGTTGTGTTGTGCAATGTCTAAAAAGGAAATGAACTCATCAGTTTGTTGTTTGTTTGTTTGCATTTTGTCTGCTTTGCTGTTCGGTACTCGAATGAGTTCTAATGAAGTTGATTTCCCGCCCTCATCCCTCATCCCTCATCCCTCAGCCTGAGCCAACAGCGCACGGCAGATGAGATGTACATGTAAGTAAGTGTGGATTGTGGCTGTTGAAAATGTTGCTTTAATTGTATTATTATAGAATTCCGCAGCAACTGCTCACACTCACTGATGGCTAAATTAGAAATAATTAGACCAAGTGTCAATTAGCGAGAATCCTTTCACTCTGTGCTGACGGGCGGTAACTGCACTGAGCTGGCAGGAGGCACTCCCTCTGCAGAGCGATAGATGCACATTTATAATTGAACAATTTACCAGTTTTCTCTGCAGATTCAAATAACTTTATCAAGGCAGGAGAGTGGCAGAGCAGCGAGATGGAGCGAACGGCAGGTAGGCATTGGCTTTGGCTTTGGCTTTGGCTTCGGCTTTAGCCAAAGTCTTGTTTTGCGGCAGCAAACAGTAAACGCAGTTAAATATTTTCCGCTTAATTTAACAGGAATTTCAATTGACAGACGTGTGCACAATGTTGTGCGGATATACCCCATAATATGGTATACCCTGCCTTTTGGCAGTCACTGCGATGAGGAGCTCCGTTCTGCAGCAGAAGGAGAGACCAAGGAGTGAATTGAGCTCTGCCTATCTGTTGGAGGGTATCAACTGCTTCGATCAGCTGACAAGCCGGGCTTTTGCTTTCTTGCTGTTCTCTGGGCGAAACGCATGATTTATGCAGTTACAACGAGCAGCCAGGCAGGCAGGCAGGCAGGCAGTAGGCAGACAGCCAGGCAGGTCCATTGCAGTCAATTTCTATTAGAGGCTGACCTTGTCAACATGTTGCCAGGCAGCAGCAGTGTGGCAGTAGCAACAAGCTGCGGCTGCGGCTGCGGCTGTGGCTCGTTTAGAGTGTGTTGCGGCGTTAAGTTGACAATTTACTGACAAATGTGTAAATTGCATTTGATCTTGTTGCTGTTGTTGCTACACTACGCTTGCTGCTGCGTTAATTTATGCGGCTGGCATTTCACAGCCAAAGGAGAAGGCAGAGCCAGTGCCAGAGCCAGAGCCAGAGCCAGGTGGCAGTGGCAGTGGCAGCAAGCACCGCGTGACAGAGTGGAGGCGCAGATGGGAGGCCGGCAGCGACCTTGATCGTTAGCTTCCGCATTTTTTACTGTTGCAGTTTCTCCGCAATGTTTCCTCTTTGGAGTGAAGGAAATCAACAAATGGGATGCAAAATATATATATAGAGAAATATCTCAAAAGCAGCAACTTTGGTAGGCAAAAGACAGGAGATTTCGATTTATGGAACTGTTGATTTTCGGTCATCGATGATGGGATAAATTTTGGCCAACAGCTTTGTATCTATTCGCTTATGGGAACATTTTTGGTAACTTGAACTTCAGCTTAGAATAAATAATGATAAAAATATTGATAAGTCGACTCACCTTATGGGCTCTGATGGATGTGCCCTCTGAACAAACTAATGTGACGTCCACCAGGCTCCCGTCTTGTAGTAATTGACTAAACACCCCTAACAGGTTGGATTGGTAATTGTTCCACCTCAAGCAGTAGTGCTCACTGCCCATGTCGGTGACAGCTTACGCTGCTGCAGAAAGAAAAGAGAAAAAGAACAGAGTTAGACAAGGATTGCTGTTGGTTAGTTAGTGTTCAAATCTTGGTAATACTCAGGCGAGAATGACTCTCGCGAGCGACTCGCGTTTCATTTCTTAATTTGGTGTTTTATTCGTACGCCTTTTTTTGTTGCTAATTGAAAATTGCGTAATCAGTTGCATGGCAGGCGATGTAGAAGTATCTTTGTATCTATTAGATACACATATGTATGTATATATAAATATTGGCATGTATGTGTGTGTATCTTTATGTGCAATTAATGCCAAAGCGATTGCGCACAAATGCCAAACAAATTGCGAAATCTTTTGCTTCAGGGTTCACAAGTGTCACTGCCACCAGCACCGCTCGCTGCTGCCCTCTCCTCCTCCCACCATCTCCATCTCTCTCGCTCTCGCTCTCGCTCTCCATCTCTGGCTAGGTGAGAGCTGTAAAGAGATAATTGGCGAGCAGGCAGAGGAGGAGCAGCAGCCAGTAGGCAGGTGGACACAACGTGCAATTGAGGGCGTGACTAGGCGTGTCACTGGGTTTTTTTCCCCACACACCACACACCAAAAACAACAACAAAAACAACGCTGACTTGCCATAAATGCATCCAAAACTTTTGTACACCTTTTTCTATTCGATTTTTGTGCAGGCGATTATAAATATTAAATTACTTTGCAGCAAATCGATGGACTCGTGGGGGCGTGAGATGATGTTTAAAATTAAATTACATACTTTTAAAATCCAAACAAAATAATATATTACCAAAATAAAATGAGCTCAAAATTTGCACAATATTGCGGACAAATGGAAAAATATTTTAAGACAAGAAAACATAGAAATGAAACCATTCAAAATACAATTTTGGGCAACTGAAAGCATGTCTGAAATTATTCAAAAAATACCGTAAAGAATATTGAAAGACTACTGAGACTTGATTATTATGTGCTGCAATGGAAATGCTGAACTCAAAATCAATCTTCTGCATTGCTAATATTCAACAAGCAAAACATTTCTATCTGCGATGATCTGTGGCGCAAGTATTCTTATTTTTTTTTACTTTTATGGCTTGGCCAGTAAAACTTGTCCCCTTAGCACTTTTTTTCTCTCTCTGGATGTGTGTTTTGTGTGCCATCAGTGTTGCATTAAATTGATGGTTACATAATTAATCGACGAGGCCAACATTCAGGCAATCAACGAAACGATCTGAAATTAGGCAAGTCCCCGCGCGGGACCACAAGAAATTGCAAGCTGCAACAACAATAACAAACATTTCCGGCCATCGGGTGATTCGTTCTCTCTTTCTCTCTCTCTGTCTCTATTGCTTCCCTTTCTCTGGGGTGTTGGAAATCTCAGGCAGCGAGGCACCGAAAAAATAATAACGAAGCAATAAACTCTGAATTTATTTCAACAAATAAAACTTTGATTTATTGCACTACGCACCAGGCACACAGCATGCAACGGATCTCAGTCGCAGGCTCAGTCTCAGCTCAGACTCAGTGCCTCTGTGCCAGCCACTACACTGCCTCTCCCTGTTGTCCCTCCTCACTTGGCACATTGCCTCCACCTTGGAGCCTTGATCTGAGACCCCGATAACGATATTATAGAGGAGTTAGAATCTGTATCTGAAGCTATTGCGATCGTAAAGCGTAAATTACGCATGCATTTTGTTATTTCCCTCTCCCTCTCTCCCTCTCCCTCTCTCACTCTAGTGCTCTCCCCCTCTCTGTCTGTTTGTTCAGCACTCGGAAAAGTCGTGCGAAGCTGTGCACACAGTGACTAAAACTACAGGAAAAACTGCATGGAAAACATTCTCGTACCAGGAATGAGTTTATCCTTTCGCTTGTGGGAACTTTGTATGGCATGATTAGCACTTTTGCAAGGCCCTGCCACCACTGTAGCAGCTCTTCTCATTTAGTTAAAGATCACAGTGGTAATTCAGGCAAAACAAAACAAAAAAAATAGGAAGAGAAAATCCCAAATGTTCGGCTGGAAAATTATGGCCAAAGTGGCAGCCAGCACGCAATGGCAAAAGGTCGCAAGCAGCCCAAGCAAGACGTGGGGCAGCACCGACTTCTCTTTTTTGTTTTCTTCGTTTGTGCTGCCATGCAACATTTGCATGCAACAGCAGGTCGACACTTAATTAAGAGAAGTTGCTAGTGGCCATGTTGCGGCCAAGTTGTTGTCGCTGTCGCTGTTGCTGCTGTTGCTGCTGTTGCAAGTGCTGCCCACGCATGATTTTTGAATTAGCGCAGTGTGTAGTAACAACAACTAATATAATTGACAGTTGTTGTTGTTGGTGTTGCTGCTGTTGCCTACGTGTTCTGTTGCAGACGTCAATGACTGCCTGCCTGAAGTGCATGCTAAGTAGGCAGCCAGAAAGCGACTCAAACGTGGACACCCGAAGCAAGGGTCGAACCAAGGGATACCCTCTGACGCCAGCCAGACACAAGGCCTTTCGCTTATGGTTAATTTCTACAGCACATAAATGTCTTTCCTGCTCTACCGATGTGCCCAAAGGGCATGCTCGCATGCAAATCTCTGCCAGGGAAAACAAAGCCAAGAGAAAGCCGCTAAGGAAAACTCAATGCAGTCGCAGAAAAAACAGAAGAAAAAAAGAACAAGCTTCTGCTGTGTTGCATGCAATTTGGGTCTGTTAATTGTTGTTGCTGCTGCCGCTGCCTGCCTGCGATTTATGCCGCTTGCATGCTAATTATGAGCCACATGTTGAGCTCCACAAAAATACTAGAAACGTGGGAGAGAACGTGAGGCAGAGAGGCAGAGAGGCAGAGAGGGAGTGAGGAAGGGAAGCCGGGTATCGGGGTAGCAGGTGGTAGCACCACAATGAGCGAGTAAGACAGGGCCACTCACTGACAACTAAATCAGTCAAAACGATGATGATGGGGCAGCCCAGTCCCAGCAGCAGCACCAGCTGCTCATTTGAGTCCCCAGTGCGCCCATTGAGTTTTTAGCCAAGTTAATGAGCGGCAGTAGAGAGAGCGTAAGACAGGCAGCCAAAAGCAGCAGCCAGCAGCCAGAAGCCAGCAGTCGCCTCTCAAATGAATGGCTGGTGGATGGGGTTCGAGTTCCTACTGCACTGCACTGCACTGCACTGCCCTGCTGCTGCATCGATCTCCCACAGTGCACTGAGAAGAGATGGTCAAGAACGAGGGCCACGTTGCTATTTCTAGAACTTCTTTTCAATTAAAGACCCCCGTGTCGTTGTGGGGCCTAAATGCTGCTTGTAATTGTCTTGGGGTGTTGTGTCGCTTGTGTTCTAATTTGTTTCCAGCTTAGGTTCTTCTTGGCGTTGTTGAGATCTGTTGTTGCAGTTATTGGAGCCTTTATTGGCATTTGTCTGACGTTTGTTGGTGATCTACAGTTGGTGTCATTGGTGTTGTTGTTGTTGTTCGACTGGCTGTTGTAATTTGTATTTTGTTATTGGTTAAGTGCCATCTGTTGATGTTGGTGTTGGTGTAGCTCTTTCTGTGGTTGTTGAAACCTTTGTTGGTGTTCTTGTAACGGTCTTTGGTGCTGTATTTATTCATGTTGGAGTTGCCATCATGGATTGCTGATCCATTATTAATGTTGCTTACAAAGCTTTTGGTGCACTATTGTTGCTGCGGCAGCTGTTTGCAGTTGTTGTTGTTGTTGTTGTTGCACCTCTTCGAATGGTTGGAGTGGCGCCTTTGCTGTTTGCCTGTCGCCTTTACCATAAAACTCATTAATATTGAAATTTCGTTCGTGTGCATGAGTTATTAGCAATTTTCTAATTAAGGCTCCCCTGGCGACGAGCCGCCAACGATTCTTCTTCCCTCCTGCTGCTGCTGCTGCTGCTGCTGTTGGCACAACTTCAGTCGTCTTTCTTCTGGCTGCCACCTACTGGAATCGGGGCTCTCTCCGTCATGCTTGGCCGCTCACCTGAGGCGCCGACATCCCACTGCCCTCCCCCTGTGCACCCTGCATCTGTCACACCCACAAAGAGGCGGCCGTTTTGCCTTTCATGTGGCCTCCTCCTTTTTTGTTTCTCTTCTTGTGTCTTTCTTTTTTGTTGCTGGTGAAATTTGCATTTGATTTATTTATTTATAAACTTAATTGCCAAGTGGGCCACAAGTGGGCGTGGCACAGGCTGCCACAGAAAGAAGAGTGTGAGAGAGGAGTCCATTGATTGGGCAGGCAGAGGCATTCCACACAGAGGCACAACTCTGCTTGTGCAAGGCGTGTGCCGTTCGCTTATGGGAAAGTTGCTCAACGAATCACACACAATTTGTGATCGATATCAAAGTCAAATCTCTGGTCAATGGTCAGCAGACACTGATCAATGATGATCTGCTGCTGGTTCTGCTGCTGCTGTTGTTGCGTCTCCTCTCTGCAGCCCACGCAGATCGCAGCTCACAAATGGATGTGGCAGTGGCAGTGGCAGTTACCGTTGCACGTTGCACGTTGCACATTGCAGTGGCAGTTGCATCCTTCCACTGTTCTACCAGTTCTAGACAAGACAAGACACACACTTGACTGATGAAGGCAAGGCTCTGGCTCTGGCTCTGGCTCTGGTTCTGACGCTGGTTCTGTCTTTTGCGGCACAAAAGAGGCGGCGTGAGGCGGGGTGGGGCACACACACACACACTGCGTGTGAGTACGCCTACGTGCGATGGCGGCACATTTTAAATCAAAAAGAAGGGCGCACGATGCAGTTCAGTTTTTGAGTTTTTTGTTTTTTTGTTTTGCAGCTAAGGCCGCGCCTCGTTTTTAAGATACCCTCTAAAAAGCAAAAAGGGAAGGAGACGAAGACGAAGAGACAAAGGCGGTAAGGCAGTGCCCGAAAAATTGGATGGCAGCATGCGAGGTATCCGCTGGTGCGTAATATTCCCCCAACTGCTTGGCCGATTATTAATTGCAACATGAAGGGGCAGGCAAGGCATGGTCTAGGTCTAGGGGTGTTCAAGCTGCAAAACAGTTGCAATTTCGCTCTTGTTGTTGGCTGTGGCATGC